AATCAAATTATCCTAAACTGGGGAGAGGCGGGGAGGGGTGGGGGGACGGGAGGCACACAGAGCTTAAACAAGTGAAATTTCAACAAAATTATTCATAAAATCACCATGTGTCTCCTGAGACACAACTGCAGAATAGTCCCTGCCACGGTATGTGCCATGAAGCAGTGATATTCTGGCTGAGATCATGTGCACAGACTGCTTTAGAGCTTTTAAAATTCACACAGTCCTGACAGAGAAGTGCTACAGTTCCTTGGAGCTCATCTTTTTGCAGTACTCAGTGCCTGGACAACAGAGCAATGAATTCAACATTCATGGACAAGAAGGAATTTTATGGCAATTATGTAATAATTTTAAAAAAAAGAGAGACTAAACTCAGGACCTGTCCTTGCAACAGAATGATCAGACAGGGTAGAGTGTAAATAGTCTCTCTCCATCTTTCTTGTAGGCTCCCTTCAGGTACTGAAAGGCTACAATCATGGAGAATATAAACTAGTTTTGGCAATACCTAGGGGGAGGTAAAAAGAGCAGTGAATGGTAGTAATGACATGAAAAAGCTGTTGATCAGAACATCATGTTTCCTAATTATATGGGTCATTTCTGACATTCATCTGAATTAAGAGTTTTCTGTTTATCACCAGCTATTGCCAAATGGATTAAACTAATAAAAGAAGGGCTTCCTTCTACTCCAACAATTGCAATGCAAGACTGCGTTTTCATATTCAGTCCTGATGAAACTAATTTAAACAGCACATTTTCCCTTTCCCTCTCTCCTCTTCACACTGTTCCCAGATTACACCACCTATGGACTGCACAAAAGCACATTGAACTAGTAGACTGAGCTGACTGAAAATAACCACCCACATTCTTTCCCAAAAGACAATGTGTATGGCAGCCCCAAAGAAATGCAACCAGAACTGCACCTTAAGCTTAATCAATCTTTTTAGTCTTAAAACGCTCAATCATACCTGTAATGACAAGGTCATGGTTCCTCACCCAGCAGTGATTGTCACTTCTGGATGTTTTTGAGTCCATGAAATGAACTAGTTCTATACATTAGACTGCCTGGAAAACCCAGCCTTTTCTTTCTTCCCCTGCCCCACATTTTAATTTTTTGGTGGGCACAGAGTAAGGGAGAGAAAGAGGAAAAAATTAACTATTTCACTTGGATCAGATCATTGGGTTGAACAGCTTTTTGGCAGCAAAAACATTTGTTCCGTGACAAGAGAAGGAGCAGTGCAGTGGCAGGAACCAGTGGGTAAGATCAGAGCTGCTCACAGCAGCTGAAGCAGTGCTTTTGCACATTGTCATTACTGCCAAGCACCAAAAAGCCCTTTGGAAGGATTAGGAATATTTGAATTGCGTCATCAGAGTAAATTCCTACCTGATGAGAAATAAAACAACACCTCTACTCTAAAAATAGATTAATAAATTTGGTGCAACTCTGCATTCTGAATGCATCCGTTTCTAACTTGCACTGTAAAAGCAGATCTGTGATCTTTCCTTCTGGCATCAGCCATGTTAAATGTAAGGCAGTTAAATGATGCCTTCAGTTAAAGCTATTGTGAACTGGCCTACATCCTAGCTAGAGTCAATTTTATCAGGATTTTTGTAGAAAAAAATGCAAAACATGCACCTCTGTCTCAGGTTATGAAAAGCATAACATGATATATGAGAAGAGTATGTGGCCTGAAAAGAATGTGGCCTGATTTTCATATTCCATGCCAAGTTCACTGATGTTTCAATTAGAAAACAATATTTTTATTCAGAGGAACTTTTACAGAATGAAAAATAGAACTGTGTTCAATTTGCAGTAGTGATCACCACACACTTTATTACAGACCTTGACTTAGTACACCCTAAGCACTAATTGCGCAGTGGCAGCCCATACATTCACCGTTAAAGCCTCTGTAAACCCGAGGAAAAATGACAATGTTCACCTGGCTCTTTTCCAGCAAAACTTCTACCAACATGGCAAGAAATCTCATCTTTAATCCTAAAATGTCTTGAAAATTTCTAAGAATCCCATTTAAAAAAATAAAATGAAACCAAACTCCTCCATTCTAATTTAGAAACATTTATAATTTGCCTAGGGCAGCAATTTGCAGGCTTCTTGATAAGGGAATGACCATATCAAGCAAATCTATTTTTTCCAAATCTGAAGTTGCCATTTTCTCCTGGCCTTAAAATAATCTTGTGACTCTGCTTGATTCCACAATTTCATATGTGAGACATATGAACCTATATAATGCCTTTTTTACCTCCTCTGTCCTAATGCTATTGAATATCTGAATTGCCATGGACTTTTCCTCCTGATCAAAGGAGCACAGCATTTCATCTAGCATCTGGTCTTTTCAGCAAAACTTGTTTCTGGAACTCATAACTGTCTTCAAGAATTTTAATACCTTTTTTAATTTACTATGACATCTTGCTACCTTTTTTATTTCAAATAAAGCAGAATATGGACAGATTTTCTTGGCCTCTCTCCAGCTCTGAATTTCTCATGTACAGTCCACTTTGGACCAACCATCCAATACTGCATTTCAGATGTTTTCTCTGTAACTCAAGAAGAGCACCCCAATAGGTAATTTTCTTAGGATCCGTCCAGCAGAGAAATCTACAAACTGTTTTCTCCTTAGTTCGAGTATTGGGAGTTAAA